TGAGAAACTCTAACATTACCTATATTTCTATTGACTGTAAGTACCAATAAATTAAATGTAATTGAAATTTGAATTGCATGGGTTTGTAGGCTTACATTTACCCTCTTTTTTCGTTTTTTATTTATTTCATTTGGCGTTGAGGGTTATTTTTCGTATAATATTTTATTTAATCTGCGTTTGGGGCAAAGTGGGCGGGGCAAAGTGGGATGCCTTTCCGTTTTGATTCATCTTCACAGAGGTAACTTTTTCATAACTTTATGTCTATTTCTTCATTAGAAAATGGTTCGCACGTATAAAAGGAGGACGGAGGGTAATTATGCACTATAGGGGACCCAGCTCCGATGACCTTGACCTTGACATATGTTGTCAAGGTCATGATTCTGAGCAACTTTGTCTTAACAACTAGGCGGCGGTCTCTTATAGTTTCTGAGATATTTAGACCTAAAAGTCTAATTTCGTATAATACAATAATATGTCTTTCCGGTATATATCTAGAACAGTGCTCGGAATTAGTTGTACATTTCGGGCCGATTTCTGAGGCGACGCCTACTGTCTCCCCACTACTACTCGAGCCTCAGCGGCGACCGAGCCGCCGACCTCCGACCGCTCACGTGACGCTGTGTCTCAGGAGCGTCGCGATACTTTCCAGTATGCTGGGAGTACACCTTCCGACAAATATCATTAAAATATTTTTTTTCTACGTGATTTTTATTTAAACAAATTTTTTTATTATTAGCATATTATGTATATATTCTATAATGATATAATTTTGACAATTATTACAGTATGATAATTACAATATTGAACAACAGTTTTCCACATCACCTCTGAGGTATTATTGTTGACACGTTTTTTTCAAGTGGTTTCCCCAGTAGGCCTATTCCACTAAAAAAAAATAACGAAAAAGCTGATTAAGTATATAGCTCGAGGAAAGCAATATTCTTTAATGTTAAATATTTATAAAAAACGAACGAGGATGAAACTGAAATAATTAATTTACTTGTAATTTTAAATTTGACCTTCTGGGTCGTTTGCACGATTGTATTAGTGATGATACATCCACAGAGATTTCAGAAGTAGTATTTTGCATCATCGGGGATAACGATGCATCATTTTCAAAACGGAAAAACGTTCATGTTTAAAAGATGCATCGTTATCCTCGATGATGCGAACTACTACGTCTAAAATCTTTGTGGATGTATCATTACTAGTACAATCGTGCAAACGACTCAGAAGGTCAAATTTAAGATTTCAAGAAAATTAATTATTCCCGTTTCATCCTCGTTCGTTTTTTAAATAAATATTTAACATTAAAGAATATTACTTTCCTCGAGCTATATACTTAATCAGTTTTTCGTTATTTTTTTTTAATGGAATAGGCTTACTGGGGAAACCATTTAAAAAAAACGCGTCAACAATAGTACCTCAGAGGTGATGTGGAAAACTGTTGATCAATATTGTAATTATCATACTGTAATAATTGTCAAAATTATATTATTATAGAATATATACATAATATGCTAATAATAAAAAAATTTGTTTAAATAAAAATCACGTAGAAAAAAAATATTTTAATGATATTTGTCGGAAGGTGTACTCCCAGCATACTGGAAAGTATCGCGACACTCCTGAGGCACAGCGTCACGTGAGCGGTCGGCGGCTCGGCCGCCGAGGCTCGAGTAGTAGTGGGGAGACAGTAGGCGTCGCCTCAGAAATCGGCCCGAAATGTGCAACTAATTCCGAGCACTGATCTAGAAAATCCAAAATGGGAAACACCTACTTTGTAAAGTACTGAATGTTGCGAAGTGTATGCGTGTATGATATTAAGTACTATTCTGCACCCCCTCTCCCTATGTAAATGTGTTAAATCTTCTACTCGAAGCAACTATCATCCCCCTCCCCCCTGTGCACGGGCACACGATTTCCATGGTAAATATCTAGAAAATAGGAAGCATCTACTTTATTTGTAAAGTAACT